AGCAGGATATTAGATGTGAAGTAATTGCTTCATTGACTACCACCATCATTTAACATGGTATGGACTATTATAAGGTCTCCTATATGAGTGTTTCATTATTCTAATTTCTGTATTAGCTTCTGTAATAGCAAGACTTCACTCAGCTCCAAATTAGAAAAAATATGCATGTATGCACCTCTTAAGCTTGCTTTTTGACATTTCCATTTGAAAAAAGAAAGACGAATTTTGCTAAAAGTGAAACATAGGGCATGAGTGACTTGGATAAGAAATTTCAAATGTGTAAGTATAACCCAGGGACTCCAGATAGTTGAGAGAATGGTTAGTGAAATATGAAGAATTGCATGTTGGACATCTGCTAACCTTTGGTTTGGAGCACCCCAATTCCCAGGAGGTGTATCTAACCTCACCTAAGCACACACATTGGGAGGTGGGCTATGTATGACCACGGTAGACCCCTTCTTTGCAGGGGTTTCCAAGACAAGCATGGCTCAGTACTGTGGCTGAGGGTTAGTATCAGATTGTAAAATGGGTGACTTTGGGTCTAGTTCCACTCACAGAAAAGCTCCTGTGTATAGTATGATGAAGATGTGAGTAGCCAAGCAGGTAACGCTGTGGTGAATGATTTGTTCTTGTTTCTCCATTTAACCATCACAGAAATTCTGAGATGTAGATATTACATCAGGATTTTATTGATGAGAATACCGAGATTTAGAAAAGATTATGTCATTTTCCCCAATATCACATGACTTGTTAGCTGAGATTGGAACTCAAGAGCCCAGGCTTTTAAGGCTCTTGGGACCAGCAGTTAGTGTAATGGCTATGTCGCTGGGTTCCCACGTAGTTAGTTGACTGCGGTTCACATCCCGGACCCAGTGGCTTAAATCTCAAGCCAGGCGCATGTGCGTGTGTGCCCCCAAGGTCCCGAGAGGAGAATGGAGGAGAAGGGATTGCAGCATGGCCATCCCCCCCAGGGTGGGGGTGATTTCTCGCTTTCTGTCTCTCTGTCTCTCTCTGTCTGTCGAGCACACATGCCCTATAGCAAAAACCTCTTAAAAAAAAAAAAAAAACAACTCTTAAGGTCTTATTCTATGGTCTCTGATCCTTAGTGAAACCTGATTACTATAACTTTTTCAGGCAATGGAGACATTGTTTCCCTTGAAATATTTCCAAGATGTTCAACTTAGTTCCATTATAAATTGAAAATATACATAAAATATCAATGACAGGTGAACCTCACAGCAACAATAATAAACACTTAGGTAGCACTTTATGGTTTGTTTGTACTTTTTTTGTTTATGACCACCTGCGGTGAAAAGGCTACCTTTTTTTGGTATTTCCACCGTGTAGAGGAAAAGCAGAGATGACAAATGTCAGGAAAGCATTGGATCTGATATCCCCCCCCCTTTTTTTTTTTTTTTTTTTTTGACTAGGTCATGTGCACTCCTGAGAGAGAAACAGAGAAAGAGGGAAAGTAAGAAATCATCCCCAAGAGAGATAGCCTTACCAAAGTACCTTCTCCTCCATTCTCTGCTTGGGCTTTTGGGCACACTCATCCATGGTGTGTTTTTCAAGCTGCAGGGTCTGAGATTCGAACCAGGAAGTCAGCCATGTGGGATCCAGCTGTCTTAACCACCACGCCACCAGTTGGCCCATGTCTGAAATTTTTCATTTGTTACTGTTTGACTGCCCTACTCTGAACCCAAGTTGTTTCTTTCTTTCTTTCTTTCTTTCTTTTTTGTACTCTAAGTCCCAAGCTTTTTCTAATATAATCTGTGTCTTCTTGGGAAAGAGAAAAGAGGAAGCAGCAAATTCCCCTAGGGATTCTTGATCCTACCTGAACCTCCACTCTGTGAGAACTTATTGCTGACTTGCATTAACTAATAAATTTTTCTCAACGAATCTGCATCATTGCTTCATTCATCCATTCTTTTTCTCTACCACCTCTCAAAATGATCCTTTAAAGCCCTTGAGCCCTTTATTAAGCAGTTAAAATTTGAATATAGCCAAACCATTTAAAGAGGCTTTATTTTTAATAATGGAAACAAAAAGGCCTAGTTGAACCACAGCAGTGGGAGTACACTTTGCTGTCTTCTTTTGCATCCCAGGTCCAATTTAGGTTGACCACATTTCCCTTCCTAACTAAAAAAATTTGGATGCTTTTTTTTTTTTTTTTTTGGCTTGAGTGCACTTGGCATTATAATAGCTTTTTGGTTTTTCCTTTTTATTTTAATTTATTTATTTATTCATTTATTTTATTTTTATTATTATTTATACATTCAATTGCTGTACATCATTTAGATTGTAAAGAGACTTTACCCAGCATGATACACACCTCAGTCCAGCCCAGTCGAGAATACCGTACACAGAATTTGGTCTTTCTAACTTAGCCCAGGAATCGCTGTAGAGGCAGAGAGCACTTCCCCCACATGGAGCATCTTCAAGGTTTTCATGTTCTGGCATGACTGGGAAGAGGCCACCAGTGCAGTGCAGGACCTGTGGGAAGTGAGGCCCACTCTGTGGATTTCTGTTGCACAACCTCCGTAGCCTGGGGCCAACTCAATACACAAAAGAATTGCTTTGTGGTTTAAAAGAAGCTGCAAACCATTTCATCTCTCTAGGGATAAGAAGGTACAATAGGGGTCTGTTTTCTATATAGCAACTTAAGGCAGTGATGAAGAAGCTGGGTAGTAGGAAAATAGCTTTTTTTGGAGTAATAACCATCTGAACAGGGTAGTTACATTAAAGCAAACAAAGGGAATTGGAACTGGATTTGTTAAAAATCACCTTCTAATTTTCCAGAAATCTATGAAAATGCATGTGATATATTGCTAATACTTAAGAGATTATAAGGAAATTGTGATCATGTAAGCATAAGTAATTGTGGAAATTCATCCTTTGTTCTGTTCATTGAAAAATATCTTTATTTTTGCAAAGGCTAGTTTGTAAACCGTTTCTTCTGTAAAATAAGTTAGCCATTATGATTTATTTAGCTTTTATAAGAAAGTATCTCCCTTGTTTTTTTTTTAATGTTAGCTAACTGAAGAAAGAAGCATTTCAATTAGAAAAAATACATTATAAATGGTCTCTTCCCAGTTAAGCTTTCTTTCTTTTTTCTAAAGAATTATTTTATTTAACTTTATTTATTTATTTATTTATTTATTATTTGTTTATTTATTTTAATTTGACCAGAGAGGGACAAAGTGAGAGAGAGAGAAAATGAGAAAGCAAGCCACCAGATCTGGGACCCAAACCACAGTCGGCCATGTGGTAGTCCAGTGCCCTTAATCACCATGCCATCTGCTGGCCCCCAAGCTTTCTTATACATTACATATATATTACTGAACTGTCCTCACTAAATAGTTTCATTTTAACAAAACTGGCTTTGGATTCACAGGCCTGTAAATCTAAAATCTTTTAACATAATTCTTATAACTTATTTTCTGATTAGAAAATCAAATATATGTTGTTAAATAAAAACTGAGAAAAACAGAAAAAGATCAAGAGGAAAGAAAAAATTATAATGCCATCTTGCAGAAGTGAATCATGGTTATATTTTAGTATTTTTTTTTAGATTTTATAATGTAGTTCTCCCATTTTTATTACTGTATATAAAATTTTGTATCTTGACTTACTTCCTAGCATAACTGTTATCATTAAAAGTCTTCAAAAGTATAATTTTAATGGCTATTAATATTTCTTTACACTACTGTACCATAAGTTACTGAACCACTCCACAGCTTTTGGACTCTTACCTTGTTACCTTTTTTTTTTTTTTTTTTTTTTTACTAATTTAAACCATATTGTGATGTCAGTCTATATAACTTTGCTCCATTTTATACTATTAAGGAAAAAAAATTACTGAAAGTAAGATTCTTGACTCAAAACCTAAGAATATTTTCAGTATACTTCTTGTGCAAAAAAAAAAAAAAAAGGATTATAATCCATAGAAAAGTCTTCTTGTAAGGTTGGCCCTTGACTGACATCTAGACACTTGAATTTTAGGACTGTTTTCACCTATCTGTAATGAATAAAAAGTGTTCACAGTGGGGCTAGCAGGTGGTGTAATGGTTAAGGCTCTGGACTCCCACATGGTTAATTGCAGTTCAAGTCCTGGACCCAATGGCTTTAAAATCACCCAGGTGTGTGTGCATGTGTGCATTGAAGAGATTAAGGCATGGTCATACCCCCTGGGGGATGATTTCTCACTTTCCCTCCATCAAACACATGTGCCCTATGACAAAAACCTTTAAAAAATTAAAAATAAAAAAAGAGAATGGTTCATGGTATCAAAACCGCACTGCAAACAGTGTGGTTTATGCTGAATACCTAC